GGCATGAAATTAATCTCTTTCTTCTTTTTTTCTTTTTTTTTTTTGGTTGCAAAAGAAGGAGGCTCCAGCCTTAGGATCCAACGATTACATTACGGGGATGCGAGACCCCGACAACATCATGAAAAATTCATAAATCAGTCCTCGGAGGAGTTTCTTGTCGTTGCAACCCTCCCAGACCCTGGGACGCCGGTGATGCTAAATAATTTGCAACAAAATTAAGACCTTCCAAGACCGCCTCAATAGCTCCCGAATTCCCTTAATCAAGCTTGTATTAATTCCAAACACGTCCTCATTGCTGTGCTAAAAGAAAAAAAGAAAAAAAAAACCCTAATGCTTGATGTTCATATTACTTAAGCTTGCCGCTGCTAAAATAACTTTAGTTATGGTCCGAAGTTGCGTTGCGGTTCCACGATCGAACGAGCTATCTAGGTGAACGGAACATTGAAACAATAACGGTATACCCTTATCTTGTTTCAATTAAACTAGCTTCAAGAGACGTTTGTTGAGCTGTGATGCTGGAAAACAATGTGTGAAAAAAGAAAAAAAAGGAGTCACCGTTGAATAAGGTCATGAAGCACTTGATGAGGGGACCAAGGGAATATTGTTGGTTTTCTAAGCTTATCGGTTCCTCCTATTGTGTGTGTATTGACACATAATTGGCAAGTTGCCACATCTTAATCAAAACTTAATCCATCTTTTTTACCAATGTTTTCTCTCAACAAAAAGGCAAGACCTAGCTTGGGAGCAAAGTGTTGTCCGTGTCTCTTTATTTTGACAAGATTGAATTGAATCATTATCTTCTGCAATAGTAAACATTGTCATCATGGAAAAGAAAAAAAAAAGGGCTTTGGAGGTACATTATTATTAATTTGTACAGGGTTTTTTAAGTTTAATATATCGACAGTAGATCGACCAAGTGTAGTTGGAAAATATGACAAATACTGGTAGCCCAATTAGTTGTAGTAGTAGGCGGGAATGGTTTTGACAAAAATGCCTAGTGCCAGAGAAGATTCATGGAAAATGCCAAATCCCCCCTTCAGATTTATTTCATAATACTACTTGGTCCAACAAAGTGTAAGTAATAAAAGCCTCCTATATTGTTTAATTTCCAGTATCCAAGAGCCAGCCCAGAACTTCACGTGCATCCCAACTCCCGCCATCCAAAAATATAGTAGTACTCTAGTATTATTTCTCCCTTTTATATATTTTATTAATAGCTTATTTCGTTAAACTGTTAAAATGAGACAGAAATAGTAATAAACAAGCTAGCTGCTTATGAGGAAAAAAAAGAAAAGAAGAAGAGATACAATCTTAAATGGATCAAATCAACGCATGAGAAACTTTTGACAGAGAAATGAAATAACGATATCCGGAGAGCAATTTGGTAGCTATTCATGAAGAGATATATAGTATAAACATTTGTGATGTAGGAGTTAGATATCACAAACTTCTCAATTTCAAACAGTTTTTTTTCACTTTCGCCATAGCCTAGGAGGTTGATTAGGAGTTTCTGGGTCATTTCTCCTTGAGCAAATTGGTGAGATCATGTGATTCTATCATGGATCCACTGTTTTCTTTTACTGCCTAACGTTGTCTATTAATTCATTTAAGTGGGATTCCTTTTTGTTTAAGCATAAAAAGAAAGCTGTCTTTTTGACCTAGTCAGTGTAAGCTGTCCTGTTTCCTTGCTTACGTGTATGTGTTACTAAATAGACTGTAGATTAAGCAAAGATCATTGTCATTGCACGTGTAATTTGCTAATCTTGACCTCTTTGATTACGTTTTTTTTTTTTTTTACTTCTTTTTCATGGAATTATTGCCATATTACTTTTGCAAGCTGGAGTTTACTTAATTAGTTTGACTCTTAAAAATTCAGTTGTTTATTACGGGTTGCTGTTTGACAAACAGCTATGTTAATTCATTATTTGTGAATTGTGATGTAAATCCTATGTACAACCAAATTAACCAAAGGGACCTTCCTCCGACCCTTCTTCTTCATCAGCTAGAAAAGAGGGAAACTGAACAAATTGAATAGCATCACAGTTGTTTTACTAGATTAATTACCACATTTTATATATGTTTGAATTTCACAGTGCAGAAATAAGTGTTATCTTGAGGCGGGATTAATATTTTTCTTTTTGGTACAAAAAAAGGGGACAATAATCTAGCAAAATAAAATTAAAATATCACTTGAAAGGTTTTTTTTTTAAAAAAAAAATTTAATTACTTGAATTAAAAAAATACCGATTGCGTCGAATTCTAACTAGGATCAACACTAATTGGCGGATCATCTAGTTTAAGGTGCAAATTAATTGGCTTCTCTTCAATATTAGTGATGTCTGCACCTTAAACATTTCTAAAATATATCGGCCCATTATATCCGTAGATTTTAGAAATGTTTGTATCTGGAAAAAAAATATTTTGTATTGGGCTCTATATATTTTAGAAATATTTGAAGAATTTAGAAATATTTTATAAGTGTGATGTTTGTATTTGGCATAAAAATAAATGTATTTGGCCCGGTACGTTTTAGAAGTGTTTGAAGATTTTAGAAATGTTTTATAAGTGTTACTTCTTAAATATAAATAAACTTGATCAAATATATGTCTTGAAGTAAATGCTAGACAAAATATAAAAACATCCTAATAAGTTTAAATATTAGTAAGATAATTTATTGATATTCTCCATTGGTTATGCCAAATCTATACTTAGTTTTGGAGATTTATAATAGCATTATAGTTAGCTTCCTCCAACGGGTATACGCTTAGTTGTTGGAACTATTTCTTCCAAAAGTTTATAGGTAGTAAAATATCAAAAATATAATTTTGAAACTGGTTAATTGTTGAAACTGGTTGATCACAAATATGAGAATGAAAATACTGTAAATTTGCATAGGTTTCAAGATATAGCAAAAAAGAACTCATCTCACCATGACAAATAAAAAGAAAAAAAGTAAAAGATAGCCCATTAAAATTTGAGATTTTTTTTTCTGTAAGTAAAAATGATGTATAAAAACACAAATAAACGTAGAAACATCATTTCTTCCCTTTCCACCTCAAATTCATAAAAGACTTCCCCATAAATTAGTTAGAAAAAGCGACCTGAACTATTTATATGATGAGAAACTAAAAAAAAGTCCAAAAACCAAATCCAAAAAAGTATATTCTTGAAACCCTGAACAAAAAAAAAACGCGCTTCATTTGTAAATATAATAATAATAATAATAATAATAATAATAATAATAATAATAATAATTGGTCAACTGGGAGTATGAAACAAAATCTAAAGCAATTAAACAAAGAAAAAACACACTTCATAACTGGCCATATACGAAAAAAAACCTGAGACTCCATAATTAAAAAAAGAAAACCACTCTAATTAAATGAAACATAAAAAAAAAAATTTAAAAACCACACTTTGTAATAAAAACCCAATTAATCAATTCAATCCAAACATAACTAAAATCATACAAAAATTCTAAGCTAACTAACCAAATAAGAAATCACATTATATTACCTGACAACGGCTACGGTAGCTGTAACGGATGGACGCATAAAAATAATAGTAATAACACTATTCCTGAACGGGAAAAATAAAAAATAATAAAAGCCAAACCAATGATCTGTGGAAATAAAATCATTTAAATTTTAATACCTGTAATGCCACCATCACAACGGCCAAAGCAAGATAAATGAGAATTTTTTTTTTCCTTTGTGTTTATATAGAGAGGTAAAGAGAATATTTTTTGAAGTTGAAATTTTATCCAATTAGGATGTAGTTGATTATCACTAATGAAAATATTGAACATGCTAATAGGAAAGGAGTATATTTCACCACATACTCTCAATTGATGATTGATGAGGAATTTATTTATTTTTAATTATGGAGAAAGGATTGATTAGGGAGTCGATTGTCGTGGGATGAGAATGAGGATTTGGATTTTTTATGAACCCGTGGTTTTTTTTTTTTTTTTGGCGAAAATAGGAGGTGGAGGTGAATTTCGACTGCATTTGCCTTTTAAGTCTAGGAGATGTGGAAATAAAAATTTATTTTAAAAATATAATGTGGGAATGTCACATGGCAAATAGTGTTACTTTCTCTTAAGTGTGGTTTTTGTTTCTAATATAATAAGATATTGATTTACGCTCTCCAATGTTTTATAATCGCAAGATGCATTCGTTTCAATAATTCACAAACTACATGGGAAAAAAAGGCCTTCATTGATAGATACAATGAAAATGGTCCCTGGATTCAAAAACAGTATGGGTAGTCATCACTGGGGGGCAAAGCATGGAAAGCAACACAAATGAAACTCGAGACGTCAGGTTCCGTGAATAGTAGTACTACTAATTATACCATAGCCCAAGTACAGTGCACATCTGGAAAATGTACTCAAATACATTTTGAGTCAGTTTTCAATACAGCCAATTAAACATAGCTTGGCGTTAGCATTTAGTTCCATCATCAATATTGCCATCCCATTTCATTTCCATATCCATACCTATTTTGCCTGCATGCCGCAAGAGGTCCACAAAAAACACAAGTCCAAATCAAACCATCCCCAGAACAACCCTAATAAATTGATTCCACGTACGTGTAGGCATATTCTACTACTTCTGATGATCTCACCGTTATCAAAATTCTAAACTAATGCATCCACAGACAGCTCTGCTAGCTAGCTAGCTAGATAGCTCTTCCAATTTGCTAGTTTATTAAGTGGGTTGACTTTTTTGAGAGTTTCATTTTATAATCATCCAAAATAATTTGTACAGCTAACATCTAACAAGCGGAGACACTTGTATGAAACAATAATAATGTGAGTTTTAGGGAGTTATGGTAATAATAATGTTGAGTTCAATTGCCTCGGGAAAAGCTCGGCGACACTTGCACGAAATTGCCCGCATCTTGCCCACACCATTTCTAGCCTTTTCTCTACTAGTACTACTACTAACTTAGTCCACTTTCCTCAATGCATGCATAGTTTCCACTTTCCATTTCTCATTTTCATGAAGTTGACATTTCTATGAAGCATCCAGCCCCTAAAATTTGTCAACAACAAGAAAATTCAGTGTCCCACATTATCGTGATCTACATTACACGTAGTACTATTTTTCTATGTTTGTTTATTCTATTTAGTGTGTGTACTAACTAGAAACTAGTAAGTTCCATTGCTCATGCAAAGTCTTTAATAAATTCATGCACCCTCATTCCACCCTGTATATATACTCTCATTTCCACTCATTCCAAATCCATCCCAAAATCCCATTTCCAAAATCCTAGACTCCAACACAATTCTGAGTTCTCTTTGTTACAGTTAACAATATTCCAAAATGTATTTCTTCCAATTTCCTAGAACAACTTTTAGGCTTCTACTAGTTCTTTTCCTTTTGAGCTTTGCTAATGAGGCATTTGGATCATCAAGACAACTTTTTTCATTGTATCAACCACCTCCTATGGCTCTTACTTACCACAAAGGAGACTTACTGTATGGTTATATTCCCGTTTCCATTCTCTGGTATGGGAAATTTTCACCTGCCCAGAAATCCATTGTAGTTGACTTTCTTAACTCTTTGACTCCCGGAACAAAAGTTCCAGTTTCTTCCCCGCGCGATGCTCCTTCAGTGTCACAATGGTGGCAAACTGTGGAGACTTACTTAGAGAAAGCCGGCAAAAAACAGACCAGTTTGGTTTTAACTAATCAGATCAGCGATGAAAACTGTTCGTTGGGTAAAATCCTGAAGAAATCCCAGATCACCCGGTTAGCTCGCCGGGTCAACTCAAAACCGGGTGGGTTGACTATAGTTCTGACGGGTCAAGACGTCGCTGTGGAGGGCTTCTGCAGCAGCAACTGCGGGTACCATGGATGGCATAAACGGGTCGAAAAGAACATGAAGAATTCGAGGTCCGCTTTTATCTGGGTCGGTAACTCGGTGACCCAGTGTCCGGGTCAATGCGCCTGGCCGTTTTACAAACCGATTTACGGCCCACAAACCGACCCGCTGGTTGCTCCGAATGGTGACGTGGGGATTGACGGCATGGTGGTGAACATTGCGAGCCTTCTCGCCGGAGCTGTGACGAACCCTTACGGAAAAGGGTATTTTCAAGGTCCCGCGACGGCGCCTCTAGAGGCGGCTTCGGCTTGCCCCGGGGTGTACGGGAAAGGGGCGTATCCGGGTTACGCCGGAGAGCTTTTGGTGGAGAAAACTTCGGGTGCAAGTTATAATGCAGTGGGTACGACCGGGAGGAGGTACCTTTTGCCGGCTCTTGTTGACCCGAAAACTCTGCAGTGCGCCACCCTTGTGTGAAATGAGCATTTTTCCCATGTCAAATTGTACAATTTTAACCGCTTGTAATTTGTAAATATACTTTTATTGTCGAATACAATTTTCCTACCATTACAAACTTCTTTCAGTCTTTCTGTTGGAATTTTTGTTCTTTGTTTTGTTTTAGGGTCAGATTTAGTGGTCTGATCATTATTTAGAGAAAGGGCAATCGAGCCAGTTAGATTTTTGGGAGGGAATTGAGTAGCAGAGCTTAATAATCTAATTAATCTAAATATGATAAATATGCTTCTCAAAGGAGAATATTCTTGTATTAAGTCGTCAACACACAGCATTATGAAAAGGAAATAAATAAATAAATTGTGTCGCTCGTTGCATTGGGGTATTGGTGATCTATCCAAATTTAAAATTTTGGTTCATACTCTCTTTGTTTCAAAAAAAAATAAAATAAAATAAAATTCTAACAAATAATTTAATACAAATCACAAATCTCAAAAATTTATGTGACCTATTTGTTTTGGGACAAAAAGCACTTTTGGTCCCTAAATTATGGGGGGTCATAACTTTTGGTCACCATTAATTTTTTACTGACAAAATTAGTTACCACGTTTTCGTTTATTCAACAGTTTTAGTCGATTTCATGGTCAATTAACGTCAACTCTTTTTCCCGTTAACTTTTTTATTTTTTATTAATTTTTTACTAAACTGGGACCTGTAATGTATTTTCAAACAACAAAATTAGTCTCCTAATATCTTTTTTTTTTAACAATTTTAGTCATTTTAACAGAATTTTCAAAATTTAATGGCCCAATTCAATTTTTCTTTAAGTCTTTATTTTTTATTAATTACTTAATGGATTGTGGGTCACACAAGTCTTTAATCAGATTTTTTTAAAAAAAAAATAAATTAAAATAATAATAAAAGTATTTTCAACTAACTTCCTAAACCTCAATATACTGCTCCTAAATGTCTCACCATCACCTTCTTGCCGGCAAAGTAGCCCATGAAAGGAGCCTCATTAGTGATCATTTTCGTTGTCCGTTTTTATTTTTTTGGATTTTATTTCTTGGGAAGAAGAATATTTGAGATTTAGGAAGTTGGTCGGAAATATTTTTATTATTCGTTTAATTTGTTTTTTTTAATATATTCTGATCAAGGATTTGTGGGACCCATAATAAATTAAGTAATCAATAAAAAATAAAGACTTAAAGGAAAATTGAAATGGGCCATTAAATTTTTGAAAATTCTATTAAAATGACTAAACTTATGGAAAAAAAAGATATTTGGAGACTGATTTTGTTATTTGAAAATACATTGCGAGTCCCAGTTCAGTAAAAAAAATTAATAAAAAATAAAAAACTTAATGGAAAAAAGAGTTGACCGTTAGTTGACTGTGAAATTGACTAAAACAGTTGAATAAACGAAAAGGTGGTGACTAATTTTATCAGTAAAAAATTAATGGTGACTAAAAGTTGTGACTCTCTATAGTTTAGATATTAAAAGTGCCTTTTGTCTTTTTTTTTTCCTTTTTTTTTTGGGGTATAGAAGGAGTCCTTTTCTTTGGTGGTGCCTTGCAAAATCACTTCAAGTCACCAGCACTTTTCCGAACGGTCCTTAAATTAAATATCCTTAACTTTATGTTCCGCAATCCGCACACTTCTTTTCTCCTTTTCTTCTTTTCCCCATTTAGTTATTTCGATTTTTTGATTGAGGAATTTGACAAATTTCATTAAATCGACATCATCAGAAGTCAATCAAATGAACGATAAAATTAGAAAGATCTGTTCATATGGTTTGGCATCGCTAGAAAACTTAACAAACGGAACAAAGAAGTCTACAATATCATTATAATGATTGCTATTAAGATCAATGTTGAAAACAAGTCGGTCGGCGGCGGAGACGGCAGACGGCTAGAAAAAGGAAGAAGAGACGGCCGACCGAAAAAAAACAAAACAAAACCCTAGCTCTGATACCAAGTTAGAATAGGGGAATTGTGTTTCATTCATATGTCGTTATGTACAATATACAGACTATATATAAATAATAACAAACCCTAAACAAGGACAATATAGTAAATATATTAAGTATTACAATACTATCCTTAAAGAAATCAAAAGGGACCTAGAAAAATGAAGTTTGGTGTGTTAAAATGAAGGTCTCCTCAAAGCTTATTCAAGGATTCAACTTACTTTTTAGAGTACTCTGTCATGCTTTAACTAATAGCATCCTTAGAATATTTTGTAATTGCATCAAAATTTACCATCGAGAAATGTTCTACATTTTCTTTTTCTCACATGGAATGGAAAAATAAATTTTTATTGAAGAAATAAAAATGTGTGCAATAACATTATCTAATCTTATAACAAAACTACACCATAATAATACACAAGACAAACAAGCAAGCGAATGTCTATCATAATCCGAGGCCCATGAAGCAAGATTAAACTCATACAGTTGTTTCCAAAGCAAATTTCATTATGGCCTTTTCAATTCTATAAAACGAATCTCATGTGAATCAGTGAATGATATTTGTTTGCTTTTGCAACACTAGAAATCCACAAGACCTGGACATGCACATCAAGGTTTGGACTGAATGGCCCAATATATCACGGACAAATGCGCCCATTCACCTCCCCCCAGTCCATCAATTTCAATGGAATTCTTTGTGCTCGTTTGAACGTTAGCTTACATTTCATTTTGCCACTTAAAAGTGGAAAGTGTTTCAAGTTGAAAAATAAATGGAAAATAAAAATATTGTTTGATGATATTTTGAGCAAAAAGATGTTTGGATATTGGTTTTGAAAAAAAATATTTTGAACTACATTTTGAAATATCAAGCACGAGTCATCACTAAACAATTAAATACTGTCAATTATAGTCACTTAAAAAAACATTTCTAAAAATAATCACTAAACAATGGAATCTTGCCAAATTTGTCACTGAACTATTGTTAGTTCTAAAATGGTCATTACACTAACAAAAAGTGTTTCAAGTTGGAATTTAAAATGTAAATCAGAAAGTTGTTTGAATGATGTTTTCTTTTCCATTAGATTTTGTGTTTAAGAGGTAAAATGAGTGAAAATGTAAAATGCGTTGTGAAACAAACAAACACTTGAATCAACAATATTCACATCACACACAATCAGCAATAATGATTAATATCCGGACGAGGTTAGACTATGGTTAGAACATGATTTTGTTAGTGTCTCTTATATTTAAGTAACGTTGTAATATATTGAAACTAGGTTTTTTTTTTTTTTTTTTCCCTCTTTTTGTACCAAAAAACAATAACGATTAATCTCTTTAACTGATTGCAAACATCTTATTTTTTATGTTTGAAATAGGCAAGTATTTGGTATTTTTGTTCATGGTTGCAATAATGCGCGGACGTAAACTGTGTATAAGAAAGTTAATTTTATATATTATTATTTGATATTATTGTCGTCAATTCCGCCAACGGGAAGTGTTCAGTCACTAAATGAAATCAAAGATTGTTTACTTCAGGATATAATAGGTTTACGTGTATCTTGACTATGCACCCCATTAACTCGCACGAGGTGCTACTAGCGCAGGGCAGTTATCGGGGAGTTTTGTCCAAGGTGATCCAAGTACTTAGCATAAGCCCGTTTGATAAAACTTAATTTGGATATGATATCTGAAATTTGAAGACTGAATTATAAGTACTGAACTGATTAAGTTTCTCTTGTTTGATAAAATTCAAAATCTGAAAACTGAATAAAATGTCTAAAATCTGAAGTCTGAACACTGAAATTTAAAGTATCTCGGCTTATAATTTTGTCTAAAATAATATGAAACTATGATAATAAATAATAGTATTTTTATAAAATTATGTTATAAAAATATTTAAATTTTATTATGTAATTATTTTTCCAGTTAATAATAATGTCATATATTTATCATTATAAAAAAATATCATATTTTATGGCAAATATAATTGATCATGGAATTTATTCGAATTTTTAATTTTTATATTAAAATAAATATTTATTAAATAAAAATAATTTATATAAATTTTAATTTATAACTAAAAATCAAGATTAATAAAATTATTTCAAGATAAAACATAAAAAATATAAACATAAAAGTAACTAAACAGGAAAACAATCTTCTTAAGAATTCAGTTCAGACATAAGTGATAGGTCTATCACTTATTTTTAGACTCATATTTGTACTAGAATTTCAAACACACTTAATTTGTTGAGACATCCTACTTTGAATATCAAACGTACTTAAAATTTAAGTCCTTAATTAGTTAAGTTCTTAATTAATTAAGTGGTTATGATATTGTGTTATCAAACGGTGCTAATCAATTAAATACTTAATCAATAAGTTTAAGTGCTGAATTGGTTTATCAAACAAGGCCTAAGCCTTAACCACAGTGACGGAACCAGCCTCGAATATTTGCAGAGTCAACTACAACTAGAACTTTTTTTCTCCGAAAAATATAGAAAAATCTAAAGGTATTTTTTCAAAAAAAATTTGCCCGCCGCAGGGTCGACGGACCCCTCTTGCTCCCCCGTAGGTCCGTCCTTGCTTAACCAATTGATCTTGAGAACATAAGGAATTTACTCTAATTTATTATTACTTTCATTCAGTAAAATGTATCATTATTTTGGACGAAAGAAGTATGAAGTATTGGATGGCAAAAGTAAAAAAATTTATACGCAACTAACTTCCAACATATGCTAGTTTGGGAGGGGGGGGGGGAGGGAGACTTGAAGGATTATATATTTCAAAAAAAAGAAAAAAGAATGATTATCCGATGTGTTATAAAATAAATATGAATAATTATAGAGAAAGAACAATAGAGGGAGAGAACATGCTGGGAGAGAGGACGAGAGAATTAATCTGTGTATCATTCTGTGGAGAATGATCTCTTTTTATAGGCAAAAGATACAAGAATAAGAGCTAATAATATTAAGATCTAACTAAATATTATCTCTATGTATTTGATTCCTTGTATAACTCTTATGGCTTGTGGACATCCATATCATTAAATATTTATATCTCCCTTGGAAGTCCATTTCTTGGGATAATGCCTCATTAAAACCTTTAGTGGTAAAAATCCAGTCCGACAAAAATCTAATAAAGGAAAAAGAGTGCATTCTCAAATATGATGTTGCCTCGTTAAAAACCTTGTCAGGAAAACCCATTGGGACAAAACCTTGATCAAGGAAAAAAAAAGTATAGCTGGAGTTACTTCCCTTGTTGA